GCAAAGATCCAGAACATAAGTCAGGAGATAGTAACACTACAACTTTGTGGGCAACATTGCATGAGAAAAACTCTCACATCAAGATTAACATGAGTTAAATGCAGTTGTACAAATGGCTGGATCATGTAGAGGGATAAGGTGACTGTAATTAGCAGTTTATTTACTTCAGGCTACTGGAAGCTTTGAAAAAACAAGTCAGGTAAAGTCAGAATCCAAGGAGGAATCTGAACAGAAAGTGTCTAAGTGGTATGTTTTGCTTCCACATATGATGAACTTTGTATATTTGATTCAAATACTAACAATACCATCTACTATTTAATGAGCCAAACCAGAGTGTCTTAAGTAACACAATTTTTTATTAGAAGTAATTTCATAAAGTAAAATTTTAAAAATTGTGCCTATTACCTTAAATTACCATGTTTTGTATTTGAAAACATGACAATACATATTCTTGTTAACATAAAATTGTTATGTGTATATTCAAATAAATGTATTCCAGGAAATAACAGGCAGCATGGAGAGACAATTTGTTTTTAAGTTGTATTTCCCCCAAAGAAATGATTTTTCAATTTCCAATATAAAAAGTATACTCCCAGAGATAGTGATGGCTTTGACAAGAGTAAATGATTTATTTTATAGTTTCTAAAATTAGCCCTATTAACAGTCTTTAAGACAATACTCTAAAACGTTTTCATTCCATACACTTAACCAACAGATGGAAAAGGAAAGCAGCCAGTCTTGTCAAATCTGTAATAAAAATGTAACATGGACTGACTTGACAAAGAAGGCTAAAGTCAACTCTTTATTCCTTCTACTGATGGACAAATCACTAGGTCACATTCTGACAGCAGTAAGAATATTTCTTACTATCAATCTATTTAAAAATATATTGGTTGTTTAGAGGCATAATTTGTAAAGCAAGACAACCAAATTAAATGAGGTTTTGTACTTTCTTAGGAAACATCCATAAGCATCACTGTCAAAGCCCTTAATCTCCTTGTAGGCCTCAAGGTGAGAGCACAGGCTTTGACCCTGGAGCTCTCTATCTATCTGGGTGGAGAATAGAATATATTCCCAAAGCACCACAGGCGAGTCCAGGTTGGAGAGAACCTCCTTCATTTATGTCATCTTCTCCTAAAGAACCCAAAGGCTTGGGGTATCACTTAATAGAACCATTTGTTGACTCCACAGATGTCAATGATAGCTCTTGCTTATTCTGGATAATTTTCCAAAGCTGTGAGTTTGATGACAGAGTATCTATCTGGCATCCTCCTGTAATGAGGGAACATGGGTAGTTAGAGTATAAACCCTGAATTAGCTTTTCCTAAGAGAAAGCATCCAATGCCACAGTAAAGGGCATAGCCAATTGAAGTAGCATGTTGGTCCCATACCAGTTGGGAGGTAGGCTTAGGTACAAGGTAGCCCTGATCACAGCATCCTCTTATGTCAGTTCAGGAGACATTCAGGATTCGTTGAGACATCTGCTACCTGCCTCTCTGTTATTTGAGACATTTAGGATGTGGTTTCAGACTCTGAGACCCTTCACTGGGTAAGAGAATCTATCCTCCTGTTATGTGAGACTTGAGGAGTAATTTACCTGTAAGATAAAGAGGAGTGCTTTTTTTTCCTGGTTTGCCCTACATGGCCAGAGCTGATCAGACCTATGCAGCCAGAGGCAGAAGCAGCAGACTTCTGGCAGGTCTTACTTCCAATGCATCCTTATCTTTTACTGAGCTAGCATGCAGTTTACTCTGGTGGGATGATGCTCCTACAAAGGGATCTTGTGCTCCATCCAAGGGAACTGCTTGAGCTGGGACGTTCCTATAATTTAAGTGTACTGAAATTGAACACATTTTATTTTATAAACAATATATGTGATTTTGAATATTATTTTACATTAAACAAACATATTTGTTTTGTTTTACTTGCTTTAGGCTTAATAGTGACAACATATACAAAATAAATTGTGATGGGATACAAAAGTTGGTCTCTCCCACCAAGCTTGGCCCGGTAAATGAATTACATTTATCCTGAGCAAGACTGACTACTAATTTGTGTATCTTAATTATCTTTAAGAGTTTATAATCAATTATTAACTTTAACATACAATTAGGATTTTATAATTTTCCATGTTAAGTCTGAACTTAAAAAAATATAATTGTTAAGATCCTTTAGTATCAAAAGAAACTTAAACCATAAATATAATTTGTAGAGAGACTGGGAACCTCATTTTATTGATCCTTTTATAATGTACTTTTACACAAGCCAGTTTTTTATATGACTCAGTTTCAAAACAAACCATCATGGAAGCCTGGTGTTGCCTCCTTAGTCTAGTAAAAGGGAGATTCAATGACAAGCAGAGGGCTTAGTGGGTACTGCCTAATTTAATTTATGTCATGTGGTTGGTCACTGTAACCACAATGGTGATGAAGTCACGTTGCATGCCCTTTCTTTAACCTTAGTAAAGATATCTGAGTCTGATGGCTGCCAAATGGCAGCAAGCCACACGGTTGTTATATGATCCAAGGTGAGTGTAGGTCATCAGCCAAGATGGCAGCAAGCCACATGGTACTCCAAGGTGAGCCCATCAGGCACATACTCTTTTCCTGAACAATAGTTGAGTCCAAGTTACATGCTGGTATATTGCTTTAGCAAATTAAAATACCTATACATGGATTTTTAAAACCATACTCAATGAACTTAAAAAAAGTTAAAGTTTCAAAAAAAGCTGTAAAGATAGTTAACAAGGCTACGTGGTGGTGGTGGTGGTGGTGGTGGTGGTGGTGGTGGTGGAGGTGGCACAAAACTTTAATCCCAGTAGGCAGAGGCAGTCAGATCTCTGTGAGTTCCAGCCAGGTCTGGTCTACAGAGTGAGTTCCAAGTTAGGCTGCGAGCTACACAGAGAAACTCTGTCTTCAAAAACCAAATGAAAAATGTATTAAGCAAAAGCAAGGAAAGGGAGGGGGGTTATTTGAGTTAAACAAATCATGGAGTATGTGATAAGCAACAGCGATCCCTTTTAGGAATAGTTTACTTTTTGATGTTTTTAAGCACACAGTGTCTTTTCCTGTGCTGCTCTGTTTTGCTCTCCTTTTCCCTGTCACAGAGTCAGGTGGACAGCCTGACCCAGGAAAGAGACTTTGGAGGAAACTTTTGAACAAGCATGCCTGACTCTGGAGCACATGGGCCAAAATCCAACTCCAGAGCTGCCTTCTCGGTAGAGTATAACAACATGAAACAATTTTTCAATATTATCCATACCCAAAAGACATTTTAATCTCTGTAAGACTGAACCCAGTAATCTACATACCCAATTGGTTGGTGTGTGTCTGCAGATGGGAGCAGATAACCTGAAATTCTTTTTTACCTCTTAGATGTTAAAGATACAGGCAGGATTTTCCAGGTTTGGAGAGGCAGAAACACAATTAGGTCTAATATATGGCAAAGTAATTCTGTACAGAATTAAGTTCAGAGGCCCAGCAGAAGAGGTGGACAGTCTGGCTCTAAATGTGGTGGTGAACCAGAACCTTGAGAAAAAAGTTAAAGGAGCTAGGAGTTTTATGTGGGAGGGGGCCTCATGCTGTCATTCCATCTTATGGATTATTTCTAATTCTGGTAACTGAAAAATTCTCTACTTTTCTCGGTAATTTTTCTTGCTTAATCTAACCAAAAGTTTGTTTGTGGTGATTTGAACAGGAATGGTCCATATAGGCTCATCTGTTCAAATGCTTGCTCCCTAGTGAGTGGAGCTATCTGAAAAAGATTAGAAGGTCGTGGCCTTGTTAAAAAGCCAATGCAAAGCTAAGAGGATCACAATGTAAGCTCTCAGGCCTATGCTTGTCTACCTAGCACCATGGTTCTCATCATTATGGAAATGGAATAATTGATTTTATGTACTGTTTTTCTGTTCTATATTTTATTGATTTCTGCTCACCTCTCCATCGTTTTATGTTTTTTCTTTGTTTTTCCTTTACTTAATCTTTTTTCCATAGTATCTTGAGAAAAAAATCAGGTTATTGAGCTGATACCTTTGTTAAAAAGACTTTAAAATGTGTGTGTGTGTGTGTGTGTGTGTGTGTGTGTGTGTGTGTGTGTGTGTCTTTGTATGTATAACCATGTATATACAGCTGCTTGAAGAGCCCAGAAGGCATCATATCCTGTGGTGATATATTGTTTATGATTTATCAAAGCTTGCCTGAAGACTCAGAAAACAAAGCCAGCCTCAAGCTATAGTAGCCAGGCAGTGGTGATATACACCTCTAATCCCAGCAGCCAGAAGCTAGGAGGTGGTGGTACACACCTTTAATCCTAGGCTAAAGACTAAGAGGTAGATGGATTACTGTGAGTCCAAGACCACCCAAATCTATAAAGCATCTATCCAGTCCTAAAGAGAAACAGCTTACATAAAGATGATCTCAGCACCTGGGTACACAGGCCTTTAATGCCAAAACTAGAGGGGTATAAAGATAGGAGCAGGGTCTTCAGTAGTCAGTATCAGGCATTCATTCTCTAGCCACACTGAAGATAGGAAGACATTGAAGTCTCAGGATTCTCCAGCCATGCTGAGGAGAGGTTATAGCCTGAGGTTTGGTGGAGCCAGGGTGGCTTTTCAGTCTGAGGTAAAGTGAGAGCTAGTGACCAGCTGGTTTGCTTTTCAGATCTTCAGCTTGAAGCTTGAACCCTAATATCAATCTCTGGGTCTTTTGTTTGTCACGTTACAATATCCCTTGAAGCTAGAGTTGCAGATGCTTGTGACTACTGGATGTGGCTTGTGGGAACCAAACTAGGATTCTTTGCAAGAACAACAAGGACTTGTAACTGTTGTGCCAACTCTCCAACCCCCGTTTCCTGTGTTTTTTTAAACAGGCACTCAAAGTTTAAAAATTTCCATAAGGACTAATTTAGTAATCTCTTATAGTTATTCATATATTTTGTTTTTTTGTGTTTTTTATTTCCAATGTTTTTTCTCTGTCATTAAACTTTCAATTCTCTTCTTTCAGCTGTCCAAGTGGCTGGGATTGTAGGCCTTCTCCAACAGGTGTGGTATTTTTAATGGATTTTCTAACTCCCCTTTTGCATTTCTTCTCTTACACATTGCTATGCTAGTTAATTTCCACAGATTTTTATTTTCACAAATTTTCTTGTTATTGACTTCTAACTTCATTCCTTTGTGGTTAAAGAGCATACTTAACTCTACACATTTTTTTTTCTTCTTGCCAGTGTATGATCTAACAGAGAATGTACAATATGCTCTTGAGAAGAAAGTCTATTCTGCTGCTCTTGGGTGGATTGTTGTGTAGATGTATTCCTAGGACTATTTGGTTCTTACTGCTGTTCAAGTCTTTTATCAGACTGTTGACATCTCTCAAGTATTCTAACCATTACCAAAAGTACTTATTGAAATTTCCAATTAGTATTTTTGAATTGTCTACTGTATTTCTGTGACTTTTGCTTCATGTGTTTTGTTTTCTCTTCTTAGATGATTACATGTTCATAATTGTGATAGCTTCCTGATGGTTCAAACCCTTCATCATTAGAAAACATTCTTTATCCTGTAATGTTTTTGTTTTTACAATGTATTTTGTCTGATACTTATATTGCCACTCTACTTTCTTAGGGATGCAATTTATATTTCATAGCTTTTCCCATTTTTTAACTTTAACTCATTCTGTATATTGTAAGACACACAGTTTAGTAGATAAATGTATAATTCTTACATTCTCAGGGTGAATGGATATAAATTTATTGCCACACTCAGAAATGGAAATGGAGAAAGGGAGGATGGAAAGAGACCGTTCTTATTTTTAAGCTTTTATTTATTTTACTCTCTAAACACTGTATCACCTTCCTCCTCACCTCCTGTTCTCTCCCCTACCTCCTTTCTACTGCCCCCTTCACTCCTTAGAAAGGGTAAGTCCTCCCATGAAGAGTTAACAAAACCTGGCATATCAAGTTGAGGAAGAACCAAGCTCCTCCCCCCTACATCAATGCTGAGTAAAGCATCCCACCATAGGGGATGGGTTTCAAAATGTCAGCTCATGCACCAGGGACAGATCCTGGTCCCACTGCTAGGGGCTCCACAAACAGGCCTAGTTATACAACTGTCACCCACATGCAGAGGGCTTAGTTTGGTCCCATTCAAGCATCTCAGGTGTGGGTCTAGAGTTCATGAGCTGACAAGCCTGGGTCGGCTTTCTCTGTGGGTTTCTTTGTCATGATCTTGAACCCCCTTGCTCATATAATCCCTTCTCCCTCTCTTCTACTGGACCCCTGGAGCCCAGTGCTTGGCTGTGGATCTTTGCATCTGCTTCAATCAGTTAATGCATGAAGGCTCTGTGATGACTCTGTGTAATCCATCAGATTACAGGGGCAGGCCAGTCCCTCTGCACTATTGCTAGGAGTCTTAGCTGGGGTCAGCCCTATGGATTCCTGGGAGTTTCCCTGGCACCAGGATTCTCCCTAACCCCATAATGGTCCTCCCTATAGAGATACCTCTTTCATTGCTAAGAGTCATATTCTTCCTCAGTGATGAGATGCTGGAGATGACATGCTTTTTTTTTCTCCCTCTGGGCTGCAGGAAGCTCAAGCCCAGAGCTTCTCCACACCATTGTACTCAGGATGAAGAGTAAGAACCAAGTGATTTAGGCATAGAAAGGGTCACAGGAAGGAAGTTTAATTAATCAAGAAAGACAAACAGGACATGTATGACTTTAATGCCAGCACTGAGGAGGCAGAGGCTTGGGATGTATCTTTGTGAGATTGAATACAATCTGGTCTTTAAAAGAAAAAAAAAACGTAAAGAAAAGGAAGCCCTCTCGCCCTGCCCAGGCGCCATCACTATGACATCAGAGTGGTGGTCCAATCATTGGGCTATGGAACATAGTTCAATTTACATAAGACCGCTGATTGGTTGAAGGGCCTAAGCCCGCCCCCACGATGACGTTTGTGTACAGATAGTTGCCAGAGAAACTAGACTGCGCTGGCGGTTGGACGTGCGGCAGTTGAGTTCCTCACTCCCGCTCCTCTGCAGTCCTTAAAAAGCTAAATTTGATAGACAATCAGGAGATTGGATCCTGGTTGTAGAAGTAATACAGACTACAGACTTCTGGAATTGTACCCAGTCGAGTTTTCCTGAAAAACCCAGAAAATCTGGGAATTCACTTGTTCCTTGAAGACAAAGCCAGAAGATTGCTTCAATGAGTTCCACTAAGAGAGTGCCTCATTTTAGTGACCAGCATTTTGCTGATGGTAATGACTCTGTGGGGCTGCCGCCAAGCAATGGATGGGCCAGAAATGTGACAAATGACTCCTCGGGACAGAAGTCAACTGACCTGACAAGTCTTCCAAGAAGCCCGGGGGGTGGGGGAGCCACAAAAGACCAATCGGTGGCGAGAGGTCGATCAGGTGAGAAAACCTGCACAGCAGAGAAAAAGCCCTCCAATGAGAAGGATGGCTTTACAGATAAAAGCCCCACTTCTGGGAAGTACTATGTTGTACTTGCGAAACCCTTGGCTGAGACGCTTCTCTTAGACGACGACAGTTGCGATGATGAAGAACGTCCTGCTACAGGGAAATGTTTCTCTGCCAAAAAGCACCAGTCTGAGACGCAACTCTCTGGTGAGAGGCATCGCTTTTCTGAGAAAAGTCGCTCATTCAAGAAGCATCTCTCAGATGAGAAAGATAGTCCTATACAGAGAGGTTACCTTATCAAGAAAAGACGTCTTACAGAAAAAGTTCGTTCTACAGAGGAAGACGGTTTAGCTGAGAGAGGTCCCTATGGCGAGAGAGTCTGCCCTTTTGAGAGAGGTCAGCCAAGAAAGAAAGGTCTTTCTACTAAGAAGAGTCCCTCTCCTGAGAAAGGTTACTTGGATGGGAGCGGACCCTCTACGGAAAAGCAGCACCCTCAAGAGAAAGACAGCCCAGCCAAGAAACTCAGCTGTACAGAGAGATATCTCCAGATAGCGGTAGACTATTCTGTGAAGAGAGGACTCTCCACAGAGAAAGATCATCCTGTAAGGAGAGGTCCGTCTGCCAAGAAAAGTCACCTAGCAGAGAAGGAATACTCAGCAAGCAAGAGTCGATCTGCAGGGAGAGATCGCAACATCAAAAGCCGCTGTGCAGAGGAGCGTCACTCAGTTGACTTGGTTAACTGGGCATCGAGCAGACACTTGGCAGGTGAAGATAGCTCTACAAGGAGAGATCGCCGCCTCCAAAGCTGTCCTATAGTGGAGGGTCGCTCTCTGGACAGGGGTAAGACTGCAAAGAAAAGACCTTCCACAGCGAAAGATCACCCCACAGGGAGAAGTCAGCTTGAGAAGAAAAAACGCCATGCAGAGGAGGGTCGCTCAGCTGACTTGGTTAACAGGGCATCGAGCACACACTTGGCAGGTGAAGATAGCCCTACATGGAGAGATGGCTGCATCCAAAGCTGTCCTATAGTGGAGGGTCGCTCTCTGGACAGGAGTAAGACTACAAAGAAAAGACCTTCCACAGTGAAAGATCACCCCGCAGGGAGAAGTCGGCCTGAGAAGAAAAAACGCCGTGCAGAGGAGCGTCACTCAGCTGACTTGGTTAACAGGGCATGGAGCAGATACTTGGCAGGTGAAGATAGCCCTACATGGAGAGATCGCCGCATCCAGAGCTGTCCTACGGTGGAGGGTCTCTCTCTGGACAGGGGTAAGACTGCAAAGAAAAGACCTTCCACAGCGAAAGATCACCCCACAGGGAGAAGTCAGCCTGAGAAGAAAAAACACCGTGCAAAGGAGGGTCGCTCAGCTGACTTGGTTAACAGGGCATCGAGCAGACACCTGGCAGGTGAAGATAGCCCTATATGGAGAGGTCGCCGCATTCAAAGCCTCCCTGCAGAGGAGGGTCGCTTGGCCAGATCGATTAGCTTGGCATCAAGCAGACCCTGTGGAAGTGAAGAAGATATTCATACAGGGAGAGGTGGCATCTTCAAAACCCCCCTTCCAGAGGACAGTCGCTTGTTGGAATGGTGTTACACTGTGGAGAGAAGACCTTCTACAGGGAAAGATCACCCCACAGGGAGAAGTTGGCCTGAGAAGAAAAGCCGCCCTGGAGAGGAGGGTTGCTCAGCCGAAAGAGTCAACTTGGCACGGAGTGGGAGTGTACCCTTTGCAGTTGAAGATATCCCTACAGAGAGAGGTGGCCGCATCAGAAGCCGCCCTGCAGAGGAGGGTTACTTGTTGAAAAGGGGTTACACCGTGGAGAAAACACCTTCCACAGCGAAAGATCACCCGACATGGAGAAGTCCGCCTCGGAAGAAAAGCCGCTCTGCAGAGGAGGGTCAGTCGGCAGATAGGGGAACCTCTGCAAGGCAAATTCTCCCCACAGGAAGAGGTAGGCTTCCAAAGAAAAGCTGCAGGGCAGAGAAACATCTATCTGCCCAGAGAGTTTGCCCTCCCAAAAAGAGTCTTCCTGCAGAGAAAGTCCTATCTTCCAAGAGAATCTGCTCTGCAGAGAAAGTTCACTCTGGGGAGAGAGGCCACCCTGCTAAGAAAAAGAAAAACAAAAAGAAAAACAAAAAGAAAAACAAAAAGAAAAACAAGAAGAAAAACAAAAAGAAGAAGAAAGAGAGCATGGAAAAGAAGTGCTGTTTTGTGAAATTTTGTTCTGAGCAGAGTGTTGACTTTCAAGACCGCTACAATGATAAAGAAAGTAACACAGGAGAGAATGTGTGCTCTGTGGAGGAAGGTCATCACTCCATGGAGCAAGGCTTTCATGTAGAGGAACCCTCTTCAGGATCCATGCCTACTGTGCCAGTGCTAGTACCAGAGCACATGGAGAATACTCCAGAAAACAGAATTGGCAGTGGTACCAGCCAAGTAGCCCAAGTCCCTCACCAGAATGTGGTTGGGGTTGTCACCACTGGTCGGCGTATGCAGGCAGCGAATCTGAGAATGGGAGTTGATTTGAAGTTGCCTCGAGTACTAAAAGCATGTCTTGCTGAGGACTGGGACTTGATAAACAAGCAGAGGCAGTTATTCCACCTCCCTGCTGAGAAGAATGTAGATCGTATTCTCAAAGTCTATGCTACTCTCGTGAAATCACAAAAAAAGTCTGGTAATACAGAATATTCCATTGATGAACTTGTGTATAGAATAAGAAAGTCTTTCAACAAGATGCTGGGCACCCATCTGCTCTTCCAGTTTGAAAAACTACAGTATGCCGAAATCCTCCTTGCTTACCCAGATATTCCAATGTCTCAGATTTACGGGGCTCCACACCTCCTGCGATTATTTGTGAACATTGGAACTGCATTGGCCCATTCATACCTTAATAGGCACAGTCCTTTGTTAGTGTCCAGCTATATGCACGGTTTCCTTAATTACCTAGCAGAGAATTCCACTTCTCTGTTTAACACCAACAATTATAAAATGGCTTCTGTGGCATATTGCTTCAAAGCCCTGTGAGGGTCTGCAAACCAGTCTGTTATGACCTAGACCCGTAAACATTTCTATTTTTGCTGTTTTTGTTGTGTATTTGATGTTCTTGAAAACTATAAAGTTATAACAGAGCTTAGTACTTCAGGTTATATATTATTGTGAATAGAAATAAAAACATTAAATGCTTTTTAACCACAATTTCAAAGACAAATAAATGTTAACCAAAAATTTGTGTTGCTTATTTGACAATATTGCTTGAATGTTGGTAGTTCTATCCCTTTCACATCATGAGTTTCTACTAGATGTTCATATTGTTTGATAAAATGCTCTATTCCTAGTGCCAAAGGATCAACATGATGGATATACTGTTGTGACCCGGCTTGTCTCAGCTTTAACCCACGACAGCCATGAGGTT